AAATATAAATATACCCTGTCTTTAGAGAATATATAACTACAAGTTTTAATTAAATTGTCTTTTTAATTTGATGGTTAGAAAATAGTAAGAAATTACTGGGTGGTGATGTCTACCTACCTACAGACAAACGTCCAGTCTTACAGGATCTGGTACAGCGTAAACGGAAGAAACTGATGAACGATTTTATTCGTGGAACAGAAAAACGTGACGAGATAGAAGAAGAAAAAGAAAATAAAAAAAAAGAAATATGGGATATGTAAGTCAATCTCAATTATATAAACATGGCAGTCAATCATGTTAAACAGATATGCTGATATATGTATAAACATGGCTGTCAATCGTGTTAGAGATAGGTTCCCAGAAAAGTATTTATCGGTTGGTTATTTCCAATAAAAGTATGGTAATTTTGGTATATCTGGAAAGTAGAGATATCCAATCTTACTAGAAAAATACTGAATTCCCTGAAAAACACTCATGGAGTGTATACAGGACAAAAATGTAAGGGTTCCCCTAATCAACAGCCCGACGATTAGGAATTTCTGCACGTGTGATGTCAAAGGTCACACGCGAACATTGAGCGCTTGATGTACAAGTTGATAAACTTTATGAAGAGTTAAACGAACAACACTTTCTGAGATAAAAATGACGGAAATAGACGCGGGTAGAGGATAATCCGAGAATTTAATTAGGATTTGATATTTGTAATAAATAGTAAGCGATTGAAGACAACATCGTCTTATGTATGCAATGAATTCTCTCTGACTTCCAAGAGAGGCAAGTCACGTGACGTAAACATGACCTGGTTTGATCGAATTTTTATAGCAGGACATTCCTTTGCAATTACAATGTTTGAGAAGGATTTGAAGCAAAATTATGACAAATTAATTAGTTTGAATATGTTTTTAGTCCATATGTACCATTAAATCACGCAGTTTGTACGCGGGAACCCATCTTTAAACAGATACACTGATATATATATATATATAAACATGGCAGTCAAGCGTGTTAAACAGATACACTGATATATTTATAACAGTATAATTCATTTATTTCTCTTCATATATCACCACAGTGTACATACCCTAAACAGTAGACTATGAAACAGCCGTCTTCTGAATACTACCTTATTCTGTGAAATCCATCATCATTTTCATTCCCTGAATTATTTCCTAAAGTTTTGAGTAATCCGTGAATTTCGACATCAGTCAACTGTCCTGTCCACAATTTGCATTGAATTAACATTGTATAATCCAGCCTTCAATTCTTATGAAACTTATAATATATCTTTATATCCCAAATATCTCAGTCCATTTCGATATTCGCATATTTCAGACCATAACTTCCTGGATTATGGCCCCTGATTATACGAAAAATCACTTTCGATATTCGCATATTTCAGACCATAACTTCCTGGATTATGGCCCCTGATTATACGAAAAATATCTTGCCTGGCAACTGCTGGTCTTGTATGTTTTAGATGTGATGTCACGTTTTAGATTTAATGTTAAGTTTTAGATGTAATATTGTGTGTCAGATGTAATGTCATGTTTTAGAAATGAAATGAAATGGGGTTTAACGTCCTACTGTTCTGCTCCTATACTGGGCTAATGAAGATGGGCATACGCCATACAGTGTGCTATGAGGGAAATTTTGCCCGGGCAGCGGCACTATCGCCTACTCTTATATCGAATTCCAACTGCCAAGGGATCTTTTACGTGCATTCCAATGTATATACGGGACCTCGGTTTTTCGTCACATCCAAAGGACTATACAGCTGTCCTTGTCAGGTCCTCCATCCTGCATCACTGACAAGGGGGAACCACGCCGGAAAACCTGGATGAACTTTCTCGGCCAATGCAGGGATTGAACACCCGACCTCCAGGCTAGCGAACCAGCGTCTTACCCACTTAGCCACGTGATCCCCTCATGTTTTAGATGTAATGTCATGTTTTAAGTGTAATGTTATGTGTTAGATGTAATGTCATGTGTTAGATCTATTAACATGTTTTCCTGTATGATTTAGATCTAATGTCATATTTTAGATGTAATAATGTCATGTTTTAGATGTAATAATGTCATGTTTTAGATGTAATGCCATGTTTTCCTGTATATTTTAGATGTAATGAAATGTTTTAGATGTAATGTCATGTTTTTCGATATGTTTTTAGATGTAATGAAGTGATGGTTGAAACAGGAGTACAATTAATTCAACCAAAGGTCGTCAGAGTTCAAACAGAAAAGAGCTTCATTTTACCAAAAACAGAAAAAAGTGTCACTTTACCAAAAATAGAACAATCCATGAACAGAAAGATGTTGAAGTTGTTAAAGCGTCGTGAAGATCGTCGTCATCGCCGCCGTTTAATAGAGAAGTTAGAATTACCTCCCCTACTTGTTGGTAATAATATACACTTGAAGTCGAAATATGGTCATAACAACTGGAAACGAGAGGTACGCAAAATATACTAGACACACAATATACTTGACGCTAGACCTACAATATACTAGACGCTAGACCTACAATATACTAGACGCTAGACCTACAATATACTAGACTCTAGACCTACAATATACAAGACTCTAGACCTACAATATACAAGACTCTAGACCTACAATATACTAGACTCTAGACCTACAATATACAAGACTCTAGACTTACAATATACAAGACTCTAGACTTACAATATACTAGACTTACAATATACTAGACTCTAGACCTACAATATACAAGACTCTAGACCTACAATATACTAGACTCTAGACCTACAATATACAAGACTCTAGACTTACAATATACTAGACTCTAGACCTACAATATACAAGACTCTAGACCTACAATATACAAGACTCTAGACTTACAATATACTAGACTCTAGACTTACAATATACTGGACTCTAGACCTACAATATACAAGACTCTAGACTTACAATATACTAGACTCTAGACCTACAATATACAAGACTCTAGACCTACAATATACAAGACTCTAGACTTACAATCTATATATTTATCTATTTATAGATATATGTAATTATCCCCATAAAAACCCCTCAGTTTATTATATAAGCTTGTATCATATAAAACTAGATGAAACTCTTATAGAGGGTTGAGATTTAGGCAACATTACAGGTTTATCCACTTATTTTGATACGAGAGAGAGAGAAATGGGGTTTAACGTCCACTCGACACAAACTAGGTCATTTCGGGACTAACATATGGTTTAATTTTATTTCAATAATTCCTTTGCGCATAGGGGTCTTTAGCAATGGGAGGAAACCGGAGGACCCGGAGAAAACCCACGAGGTTGGACAGGCGACCCTACTCCTTGTCACGTACAACCGGGGATTCGAAACCATGCCAGTTGACTCAATGACAGACTTTATGATACAGCGCGCGCACGCTAACCATTCAGCCATCCAACCCCCCTATTTTGATACGATATCTCATTTTTGGTGTAATATCTCATTTATGGTGTAATATCTCATTTTTGGTGTAATATCTCATTTTTGGCATGATATCTCATTTTTCATGGCTTATTAAGCCATGCTGTTTTGGTTGATTCCATACAGCTGATATATAAAATATTTCTCAAGGTCAAATAAAGCATTCACCCAGTTATTAAATGGAAAAAGGATTTTGAATATGTGTTTTAGAATTTAAATAGCCCAGAATAATGTTTGGGTGTTTATTTTTTTCAGTCACCAAAACGTTTAGTTCTACCAGCGATGATAACGACGCCCTTACTGCTGAGTTTAGATGTAAACAAAGATCGTATTAAGGCTAGAAAGTAAGATATAATATCACGCTTATTTCATACTCATTCAACAGTCAACGCCACAAAGCTTGGCACTCGTTATTTTTCGCTTGTAGGGTTTTTGTCAAACAAACATAGAAGCCGTGATTCCAGGCATGGAATTGATAAGCCTCTATCGTTCATCACGACCGAGTCAGTATGGATAATGATATTTTAACTTGAGACACCAGTGAATACTCAATTGGGATCACATGGTTTTTTACATTTTCTTGGTGTGCCATTCAAAATCTTGTGGCACACTTTTTGAAAATCACTGCGTTAACCATTCAACCATAACCCCACCCCCACCCCCACCCCACTACTTGGGAAATAATTTAATCGTTAATTTCTCCCATTTCAGATCTCTGATGAGAATGAGTCGATCTGAAGTACGATCAGAAGTTCGTCTTGCTAAAACAAGGAGCTATCATCTTACCACTGATTGGAGTATTAATTTTATTAATGAAGTTATTTAATGATATATCAACAAAATCATCCCATAATATTTTTATTAATGAAGTTGTTTAATAATAAATTTTATGTCAACAAAATCATTCCATAATTTTTTTTATGCTTGATTACAAAATTATTTTTTTGATTTTATGTCAACAAAATCATTTCATATTTTTTTTTATGTTTTTTTTTTTTTTACAAAAACATTCTCTTGACTGCCAAAATATTTATTCTTTCTTTGTGTAATTGATTTTTTTTATCAAAATTAATATTTTATTTTACTTTACGTATCCTTGTTATTCTGTTATTTATTTGTTTACTTTTAATTTCTATAGAAAAATAAAAATATTGTAGTTTATTATTAGTTGTTTTTATCTCTTACCAGCTGAAGGAGCTCCTCTGTGAGAGAGAGAGAGAGAGAGAGAGAGAGAGAGAGAGAGTAAATGCTGATACAATATGGGGGGGGATCAATGCTGATACATGGGGGGGAATCAATGCTGATCCAACAGGGGGGGGGGGGGGGCGATGCTGATATAACATGGAGAGGGGGGAATCAATACTGATCCAATGTCAGGGTTCAAGGGGATCCACTTCCATTAAAAGTATTTACATCCAAAAATCTATTCTATGCTGTACACAGTCAACAAAATATTAAATTTTTGATGAAATTTATATTTTGGGGTGAACTAATTTTTGTATTACTGCAGCTCCAATACTTCCAGTTACATCTCAATTAATTCACAAAAAAACTGAAAATAGATTGTTATTCTAGCTGTTTATTATAAAACAATACAATATCTTGATTAATAATTAAATATCACAGTTAATTTGGCAACAATAAATAATATAGCTTATAATAATAATAATTATAATAATAAACAATGGTTGTCCATCTTCCACATGTAAACAGCTATAATAATGAACCTTAAACATACTTTTCCAGAAAAGTATTTATCAGGTGGTTCTTTCCAATAACAGCTTACTTATATCTATAGGTTTAGGTATCCCCGGCAAATACTAAGTTTTGAGAGGGAATTGAAGCAAATTTTTGATACATTGGTTACTTTGAATATGTTTTTAGTCCAAATATATCATCAAATCACAAAGTTTGTATGCGGGAATGTACCTTTAAAGATACATTATGGAAGATTAGATAAAGAGATGGTAGTTCTCACTATAACAGTTAAAAACTAGATAATGTAAAGGCAATTTGCTGAAAATTTCAGTCAAATTGATCCTCTCTGAAACGAGATTTTAGCAATTGAATTTTCGGCCTAGCCTCGATCATCACTACTAAAGTCAGTACGATAAAAAAACATAGTCTTGATTATTCATTTCATGATTAAATCATGAATGGAAGTCGAACAGCAAATCAGAACTAATCCAATAAACATCGCAGGCTAGCGATGACATCGAGGGTTGATTATGCTCTGGATAGGTTAATTAATGTCTAATTAATAATTAAGATAACATTTCAGGCAGATTTAGCATAATGTATGTTTAATTACAAAGCAGCTATATATAATATTGGGCATGCTTGAATGTCAGTCCAGAACGTCCCGAAGAATTGACGGAATCGCAAGCGAGTGACACGGAATACAGTCCTGTCACAATTCTGCCGGTCCCGACAACTGAGATGGTGTGAGTAGAATTGCCACGTAATATGTTGCAGCTGTCATTGTTGGTTGAGATATTTTCTTATCCAGTCCGCTTATGCTTTGTAGCTCAGAAACCACCCTTTTCACTCGATTGTCACTATTTTTGGGGATCATGAGTATTCAATTCCGAAATGTTCATCGAGTATCCCCAATATGTCTAAATGGGGATAGGGGCAGTAACTCTGTGACATAGGGAGCAATCTGACAGGGTTTCTGTAACAGGGGCAGTAACTCTGTGACATGGGGAAAAAAATCTGGCAGGGTTTCTGTAACAGGGGCAGTAACTCTGTGACAGATCTTTTAGTGTAAATCTACAAACACTTGTAAAATGACTGAATTTCGATATGTTTATATATTTGAGACTAACAGATCTATCCAAGTAAGTTTGTAAAAACTCTGAACTATCGAGTGTATACAGGGTACCAGTGATAGGGGCAGTAACTCTGCACGACTGTGAATTTCTAAATAATTCTCTGATTTGTGGACAGACAGACAGTGGTGATGACAAAATACCTTTACAGGAAATCCATATAAAATTTACGATGGTTCAGACAGTAGCTCACAACCTGTCGTATGAGTTTTGACACGCACGGATCGTAGGGTTTGGTAGCTCACAGACCAGCCGCAAGAAACCAGGTGAAAAGTTTGAATGTACAGGGCCAAAAGTCTCTACGGCCAGTCCGCGATCTTCTACAGTGCCAAACACATGCAAGTGACGTGTAAGTCCCAAGCAAACATTTATAAAATTTCCACTGTAGACTGCCCTTAGTAGCATGTACGACAGGATGTGACGGCAGGGTGTGACGGCAGGGTGTGAGCCAGCCTTAACGACCAATGAAATGGATCTGATTGGGATTTTGAGCCAGCCTTAACGACCAATGAAATGGATTGGATTGGGATTTCTGTTCTAACTGATATAAATGAACATTTCATAAACTTCTCACTAGCAATTCAACTAAAAACTTGTTGGCAGACAGACGTCTTGAATTTGGATCACTAAACATCGCCATGGTTACGACTGTAACAAAACGTCCAACAAATCTTCCTTGGAGAAAACTTTAACATCCTGTGAAAAAAGATCTTCGCGCATTTGTTCTGTTTCTGGGTTGTCTTCTGGTAAAACTGTGTCCGGCCGTAAGAATTCCTCGGCAGGAAATAAATGATCTGTTTCACCAGCACTGAGATGAGCCTTGACACCCTCGATGTTCGTCGTTGGAGCACTACTCGGTCGTGTTTTAGGTTTCCGGGCCCTTTTCTCTAAATCTGGATCGCTGGCGATTAAATTAACATTTGACCTTTCTTTGACCTTGATTAGTTCCTAGAATTAAAATGCGAAAAATAAAATTATTTTGGAACTCGAATGTTCACGGTACTTTAAAGTGAATACAGGATTTAATTCAAATCGCAAGGCAAAAAAAGGTGGGTTGAAGATGTTGAAGCCAAAAGAGGAAGTGACCAATTTCGAAATAGATTCCTCTATTCAGACTCGACCATATGTTGGGTATTTTCGGGGGTTTATGTTTAACGTCTGCAACCCACATGCCTCCCTCTCACAATGCTGGTTAACATCCACTTCCACATAGGGAGATATTGCTGACAATTGTTTCCTACGAAACTGGCAGGAGTCAAATAAGAGTCTTGTCTCAAACACCCATCTGCCTCACCTGAAGGCCTTTTATACCTAATCTGTGGTAGCTTATTGAATTATGGGTAGTACTGTCCAAGTCTGTGACTCTATTCGAAACAATTTGTACGATCAAAAGTATAGTTGCAGTCTGAGATCTGGGATGATCAGCCCTTCAATGCATTGATTTCTTTTGAGATTTATTCTAGATTGCTATAATAGACGGCAATTTATATTTGATCTTTTCAAAAACTTCACATTCCACATTTGTGATAAATTACAGGCATCATGTGACTATTTATGAAGCCCCGCAAATAACTACATGTGCACTGATCGTAACCAACGTAATGGTCATTTGAGTTTTAGCCTCACTTCTCCATTTTTAAATTAAATCATTAAATCATGGCCAAGCCATTCTAATCTGCTTAAAATCAGAGGCATCTGATGGCATCGTGAGTTGATTAAGGTCTTTTCATGTTAATAGATGTCTCATTAATAGTTTATATAACATTTAAGGCCTAAAGAAATGTTTGCAATAGGCAGATTTAAGGCATAATAAGATTTGTCTGGTACTAAAACACCCACCTCCATGGTTTTCTTAGCTGAGGTAACTTTATCAAATACTTGTCTTTCTGTAACTGCCTTCTCTTCATATAACTGACCACATTTCTTCACATATTGTTGTCTAAAATACAAATATTTCTTTTTATTACAACACTAATCTTACTTTCTTTAGTTTGTATGTGCATATGCTTGGTTCCTCTCTCCCTCCCTCCCTCCCTCTCTCCCTCTCTCTCTCCCTCTCTCTCTTTCTCCCTCCCTCTCTCTCTCTCTCCCTCTCTCTACAACATTTCGGCCACAGGTGTAAAATAGGTCCTAATTGGGGCCAACTACTTTTCTCCACAAATTGGGTTTATGAAGATGGACCTATGCTATATAATGTGCTATCATGAAAATTTTGCCCAGAAAGAGTCGTTTCCAACTAATCTTTTTCAGGAGCTAAAATCGCTAATATTTGGGACCTAGAAATTGACACAAATGGGTCGCAACGCATATAATAATGTAATATGAATGTATATAAACTGATTTACATTCAATCGTTTCTGTTTTTATTCTAATTGCTAATCAGTTATGTTCGATGAAATACGAGAAGAGTCCACATTGAATGGCATTCTTTAGTGTCTGGTTATTTCAGTCTACACCGGTCGGATTCTCCCGTGGAGTATGTTTAGCCTCGATTATTGAGTTGCTACATAATAAATGGCGCTTGAAAGCATCCTGGCACACAATTTGTGTTCCAATTTTAAAATTTCTATTTTGTCTTAAATATTTAATATCAGAAGTTACGGTAAGATCACAACATCAATGTTGATTTAAATTGACCAATAAGTCGTATTTCCAATGTCGAAGACTGTGGATGATAATGAGTTAAAGACTTGCCTCCTTTAAGTCAAATTTGTGTCCATGGAAACAGAAAAAATATTAAATTGTGGTACATATATACATATTCCTGATAGCTGTCTATTTTGAGACTATTTATCAAGTGAACTGTACCTGAGTTCAGTGTTCTGTCTCATTAGTTCATCGATTCTAGTTCTATATTTATCATCTATTAACTGAACTTTATCAGCAAACTGTTCTTCATATTCCAATAATCGTACTTTCTATAAAATATAAAATACACCAATTATACAACAAACTTTCTATAAAAAATAAAATACACCAATTATATAACAAACTTTCTACAAAATATATAACAAACTTTCTATAAAATATAAAATACACCCATTATATAACAAACTTTCTATAAAATATAAAATACACCCATTATATAACAAATTTTCTACAAAATATAAAATACACCCATTATATAACAAACTTTCTATAAAATATAAAATACACCCATTATATATAAAATATAAAATACACCCATTATATAACAAACTTTCTATAAAATATAAAATACACCCATTATATAACAAACTTTCTATAAAATATAAAATACACCCATTATATAACAAACTTTCTATAAAATATAAAATACACCCATTAAATAACAAACTATCTATAAAATATAAAATACACCAATTATATAACAAACTTTCTATAAAATATAAAATACACCCATTATATAACAAACTTTCTATAAAATATAAAATACACCTATTATATAACAAACTTTCTATAAAATATAAAATACACCCATTATATAACAAACTTTCTATAAAATATAAAATACACCTATTATATAACAAACTTTCTATAAAATATAAAATACACCCATTATATAACAAACTATCTATACAATATAAAATACACCAATTATATAACAAACTTTCTATAAAATATAAAATACACCCATTATATAACAAACTTTCTACAAAATATAAAATACACCCATTCTACAACACTGCAATATTCCTTCTGCACACAGAGCTCCATCTACTTCATACATCGAGAATAGATCTCTGTCCTAAATGGTCACCATATCCAAAGATACTGTTTTGTAATGCGGTTCTACTCTGTTTCTGTTATACTCACAAAGACTATATGAAGTTTTTCAATTTTATTAAATGGAAGCAGAATATAATTCTCGAAGTATGCTTAGTGTTTTCGACTAAAATCGTCGTTTTTTTAGGACTTAAAATGTCGGTTAACTAGCTTAGTGTCTGTTCTTAAGTGGAGCGAACTGTAGACAGACAACCTAAGTTTACTATGTGCAATATTAGGTACATATATAAATATATGGTAAAACAAAGAATAACCTATCAAAATAATATATGGTAAAACAATAAACTATCAAAATAATATATGGTAAAACAAAGAATAACCTATCAAAATAATATATGGTAAAACAATAAACTATCAAAATAATATATGGTAAAACAATAAACTATCAAAATAATATATGGTAAAACAATAAACTATCAAAATAATATATGGTAAAACAATAAACTATCAAAATAATATATGGTAAAACAATAAACTATCAAAATAATATATGGTAAAACAAAGAATAAACAATCAAAATAATATTTGGTAAAACAAAGTAAAATAATTAAAACTATCAACACAAACTTTGAACAATAACCTCTTACAACTTGTTGTTGACTTACATATATAATCTTCACATGTAAAATAAAATTATATTATAATGGCGGGGAGAGATATAGGGTTTAACGTCCACTCAACACAAACTAGGTCATTTTGGGACTAGCATATGTTCAATTTGCTTGTGCTTAGGAGTCAGACAAATCATATGAAACTATTGATGCCACAATATTGTATTAAATAGTACTACAATATAGAGAGGGAACTGCTGTTGCTCAGTGAAATAAATGAAATGAAATGGGGTTTAATGGCCTACTGTTCTGCTCCTACTGGGCTAATGAAGACGGGCATACTATGGTCTACTCTTGTATCGAATTCAAACTGCCAAGGGTTCTTTTACGTGCATGCCAATGTGTACATGGGACCTTGGTTTTCCGTCCCGTCCGAACAACTAGACAGCTGTCCTTGTCAGGCCCTCCGTCCTGCATCACTAACAAGGGGGAACCACGCCGGAAAATCTGGATGAACTTTCTCTGGTCAACGCAGAGATCGAACACGGGAGGTTAGCGAGCCAACGTCTTACTCACTGAGCCACCCGCTCTGAGCCCCCCGCTAACTTTGAGGTCTGGGATAATATGTCAGCCCCCCCACGATGACTGCCAGTAATATATAGTATTATAACTTACCGTATCCGTTAAAAGTCTACTGGTCGTATTTAACAATGAACACGTCTCAGAATAACTCGTCTTTACTTCTTCTAATTCTTCTTTTACTTCCTGTAAATACAACAATATTATCTACTTTTACTTTATATAAATATAACATCTACTTTTACTTTATATAACAACAATATTATAACATCTACTTTTACTTTATATAACAACAATATTATAACATCTACTTTTACTTTATATAACAACAATATTATAACATCTACTTTTACTTTATATAACAACAATATTATAACATCTACTTTTACTTTATAAAACAACTATATTATAACATCTACTTTTACAAATAAACCATGGAGAAAATAACATTTATAAAAACAACTTGTTTCTCAAAAACCAACACATACATCTTAGTTATATACCCACTCAGATTAAAATTTATAATTTTTCATAACTTGAACATAATGTGTAGCCTACCATCAAATCTTCTTCATTGTTTTCAACTATAGTAAATTTCTAGTATTCTGACCCTCTTGGGATATATTTCAACGTAATCTACCTCATGAGACTGTCTGGATGAAATGAGTCTATCAATATAAATATTTTAACTTACATCTAATTCTTTAACAACTTTATTTAATCTGTCTAAATCTGCTGCCACGGTCGCATACCGTCTCTTCATCGCCTATAAATACACACAAAAAATAGTCAACATTCTATTCTGAGAGAGAGAGACACAGAGAGATCCAATCCACACAAACTAGGTCATTTTGGAAGTAACATATGGTTCAATTATATTTCAATAATTCGCTTGCTCGTCTGGGGTCTTTAGCTGTGGGAGAAAACCGTAGGAGCCAGAAAAAATCCATGAGGTTGGACAGGCGGCCCTAGTCCTTGTCACGTACAAGCAGGGAATTGAAACCACGCAACTTGATCCAACGCACACACATTAACCATTTGGCATCCCAACCCCCGTCTAAACCAATCAAAAGACAGAACATGTAAAAAAAAAACCCAGAGTTGGTAGACAGATGTAGTGTGTGGGATGTTCGCTAGAAGTGGGGGACCCATGGCCAAGCGACCCTAATCCTTGTCACTTGACTCAATGACATACCTTGTGATCCAATGCGTACATGTTAACGATTCTGTGACCGAACCCCACTCATTCTGAGAGAGAGAGAGAGACCATGTCACTTGACTCAATGGCAGACCTTACAATCTAAAGTGCATGTATTAAACCACGCGATCAGGTCAGAAGGTCATTGCCCTCCATCTTTATTAAAATATGCTCACCTCAATTTCTTTTTTATGTTCTCTTTTAATGGATTCTTTCTGTCGTTGAAAATCTTTTGTTATGCCTGATTTATCAGCAACTTTCTCTTGTAATATTTTATTTTCTGTAGGAAGGAATAAAAACTTGTACTTTTATTTGATTGACAGATCAATCATGTAGATTACAGAATTACTTTACAATAATCAATTGTTTACCATTAAAACAGAAATGAAATGAAATGGGGTTTAGCATCCTACTGTTCTGCTCCGACTGGGCTAATGAAGACATGCATACACCATACAGTGTTGTATAAGGGAAATTTTGCCCGCGCATGGCCTGCTCTTATATCGAATTCCAACTGCCAAAGGGACTTTTACGTGCATGCCAAAGTGTACGCGGGACCTCGGTTATTGTCGCATCCGAATGACTAAACAACTGTCCTTGTCAAGCCCTCTGTCCTGCATCACTGACAAGGGGGAACCATGTCAGAAAATCTGGATGAACTTTCTCGGCCATTGCTGGGATCGAACACATGACCTCCAGGCCAACCATTAAAACAGAATCGTCCAGGGTTCTTGTTTCAGCCATATTCGTGGGTCATACCTGTCAGTCCAATAAACAGTGGATATGGTAATAAAAAAATGATTTAAAAGATATATTATATAAGAGCTAAATTTGCCTAAAATCTTACATTAGCCCAGTCGGAACAGAACAGTAGGATGTTAAACCCTATTTCATTTCATTTCTCAAATCTTACATAAATCTTTATTTAGACATTTAATCATATGACAAGCCGATAATCAACTCTCTAGAGATTTAAAAGTTTAACGATAAAATGGATAATCAAGACTTAATCTTGGTTGTCAAGTACCGTTGCTACGACTATAAACAATCTGTGCTACATCTTCAAATAATCATAATTATGCCCAGAATAAAGTAATTTGAAGGAAATCTTCAATATATTCATTTTTCATTATCTATTTTTGAACTATTAAAACAAGCTCTTTATCTAAATCTTACATAATGTATCTGTAATATAACTATTATAGCAAGAACGACCAGCTCTTTATCTAAATCTTACATAATGTATCTTTAATATAACTATTATAGCAAGAACGACCAGCTCTTTATCTAAATCTTACATAATGCATCTTTAAAAATCTGAAAATCTAAAATTTAATATAACTATCAGGTGAACTTACTAATTTCTTGAATGGCTTCCATTTTTTCTTGTTCAAGTTCTCGGCGTAATTCTTCCTCCTTCTCCAGCCATTTATTGTCTGTTTCCTGTTCTAACGTCCCTTTATACGACTCGAACGCTCCCTGTAAAAACTCAATCTCTGTCGACATCTTATCTATAAAGAGATCAACCAGGCGTACAATATCATTATAAAACTCTATCGGCAACAGACATAAACAGACAACATTTATAAAAACCTGATCTCTGTCGACATATAAAGATTGTAAGATCCTCTGTTTAATTCAGAAAATCTGACACAATTTTCAGCATTTCGGCTCAAATTTAGTTTTACAACTTTAAAAATACATAATATCTAGATATGTATACATGTATATCCAATAATATTAGCACAACCGTAAAGCTGCACTACTTTGTTTCACGGTAAACGATAAAAGGTATGCCGACACAAACTGATTTCAACACTGGTTTAAAAACATTTTAAATAAATAATGTATATCACAATAAAATCCTAGTAAATATGAATAGCATTTTTCATCCCATCTGAACCACTAGATGTTTTTGTCTTGCCTTCCAACCTGCGGGGAGCCACAGTTGCTAAGTGCATAAGACGCTGGCTCGCTAGCCTAGTGGTCGGGTGTTCGATCCCTGCATTAGCTGAGAAAGATCATCCAGATTTTACGGCTTTGTTTCCCCTTGTCAGTGGTGCAGGATGGGATGAAAAACCGAGGTCCCATGTACACATTGGTGTGCATGTAAAAGATCCCTCACAGTTGGAATTTGATATAAGAGTAGGCCGTAGCACCACTGTCTGGGCAAACTATCCCTCATAGCACATTGTATGCTCGTCATCACTAGCCCAGTCGGAGCAGAACAGTAGGACGTTCAACCCCATTTTATTTCATTTCTTCCAACCTGCACCTGGTAAATCATGAGGACCTTTATCAGACAATACCTGGCCCCAAGTACACAAAGCATTCTCAGACTTAAGTTAAGAAATAACTCGAAATTGTTTGCTTATTTTAATTACAATATAGCCCTTTATAAAACTTTTGTTGTTTTAATGTATCAAATACATCAATAAGAAACTATGTGCAAAGTTTTATGTTTCTGGATTAATGATATTTCTCATAAACAGTGATTGAAAGTTGAGTAAATTCTTAACTTAAGTCTGAGAATGCCTTGTGAACTCGAGGTCTGATTGTATTAAATAATTTGAATTATTGAAAGTAAACAGAGAAACTAACGAATCCTTTGATCTGTTTTTTCCTTATATTCATCAAATTCTTTTTCTTTCTCTATTTGTAACGACTCCATATTATATTGATGTTCATCTTGTAAGTCTCTATATTAAAAAAAATAAATAAATAAATAAAAAACAAAATAAATTAAATTTAAAAAAAAAAATAAAAAAATGAAATAAAAAAAAATAAAATAAGAAAAATTAAAATAAAATAGCTCTCAGATTAATAACAAAGTTGATAAAGATTTTTATTTTCTTCTGCAATTTCTAATATTTTTATTTCCTTTTGTCAAGTATGAGTTTATAAGGGCTGTCGTTTGAATTATATTTACTGGTCGTGACTGAATGGCCATGAAAATAACTGGCTGGAAAACCAACCTGTCAGTCCATTTAAAGGGACAATAACACTCTTGCTGGCTTGAAAGCTCCAGAAAATAAATAATATCTCTATCTATGTACTAGATATTTAAGTGTCCTACCTGTTGTGTAAATTATCCATTACATCCTATTTTACTTGTCCAGAGGGTTCGAAAATATTTTTAAATCGAAGTTTCATTTGAAAAGGTTTACGTTAGACGTTTCAAACCATTATGTTGAATTTTTCAAAAATTTTAAATAAGGTGTGTTAAGATGAAATTAGTATCATCAATTAATTGAAATATTCTAAAATAGTACAATTTGTTGACCAGAATAAAGATTGGGACATATTATTTAGTTACAATAAGAGTGGTATTGAGCCTTTAAATCTATAATATGAGGTTTTCAGGGTTGTCGTTATATTATACTGGTCTGGACTGACTGACAAGATTGTAGTAAGTTAGTACAATAGAATCCAGGGCACGTGTTTCAGTTCTATTATACTGGACTTTACTGACAGGCTGTGAAAATGACCAGCAGAAAAACCAAACTGTCTGACAATACATAATCTTTAAGTGGCGACTGAGGAACACATTAAGCAGAGCACAATTTTTATGGAATAAATTACGAGAAGAGGAAACTTGTCGAAACGTCACGCTTTTTGAATAAAACCAGTGACTGATATCCCATAAAATTGTGTTGTGCTTAATTAAAATACAGTTAAATTTATAGTTACTAAAAACACAAACAGATCTAAACACAATTTTTGATAATGCAAGAAAATTGGCTATAGGCCTTGTTCTATGAAAAAACATCTTGGTATTCCGAAGTAAACAAAATATGTCAAAAATTAACTTTTTGACAAATTTTGAAATGAAAAGTCCTGTACAATGGTAAAAAAATAAATAAAACGTACCTAGAATAGAAAAATAAATAGAAATACCTGATGTGGTGTGTATGTTGATTGGCCAAATCTTCTAATTTATCTTTTAAAAGTTCTTCAGCTTTTTGTTTTGTTTGTCTGTGGTTTAATCGCTCTTCCTCGAGATAAAGAGTCAGATCATTCACCTGTTCTTGTAACTGGGCGATTAAACTATCCCTTTAAATATATATAAACATTGACATTAAACTATCCCTTTAAATATATATAAACACCGACATGAAACTGTCCCTTTAAATATAAAGAAATGAAATGAAATGAAATGAAATGGGGTTTAACGTCCTACTGTTTTGCTCCGAACTGGGCTAAAGAAGACGGGCATACGCCATACAGTATACTATGCGGGAAATTTTGCCCGGACAGCAGCACTATGGCCTACTCTTATATCGAATTCCAACTGTCAAGGGATCTTTTACGTGCACGCCAATGTGTACACGGGACCTCGGTTTTTAGTCCCATCCCAACAACTATACAGCTGTCCTTGTCAGGCCCTCCGTCCTGCATCACTGACAAGGGGGAACCACGCCAGAAAATCTGGATGAACTTTCTCCGCCAATGCAGGGATCGAACACCCGACCTCCAGGCTAGCGAGCCAGCTCCTTACCCACTTAGCCACTGTGATCCCCATAAATAGATATAAACATTGACATTAAACTGTCCCTTCAAATGGATAACATGAAATCATAGTGTCCCTATAAATCAGTGTCAATATCAAATGATATAGTGTCCCTTTAAAAGCCATGTGCTATGAAGAGAATATGAGTGGAACTTAAAATGAGAAAAGAAGGAAATGGTGTTAAAACATCTTCCCAACCTGGGAGAATAAAATACAAAATACTTCAAAGATTTATCTGCTGGCTAAATATTGAAGTGAAAACTCTGCTCCCAAAATTTGAAGTGGAAAGAAATCAGAGTACAAACTGTGAGAAAACAAGAGCAGGCAGGCAACACTATTCCTTGTCATGTTCGATGCCAGGATTGAAGCCATGACCTTCCATGACAACAGACCTTATGAAATACAGTGTGATACTCTACCTGGCTATCCAAGTCAACCCAAGAATAATAATAGTGTACATTAAATATTTACCTTTCAGGATCTCCTCCCTTGTTGCGTCTGTAAAAAAAAAATACAGTGGTTATAAAATAGTCATTAATTTTCACTACTACACAGATAATTTATTATCAAGCAAAAATTTTTGTTATTTTTTGTTAATAAAAGGTTTCTATGATAGCATACCTGGTGCTTGGACTACGAGGACTATCAGGAACTTCTGTATGAGCATCAAAGAAATTATCTTTCATTACCATGGACATCTGACTTTTACTTCTAGATAAAACATATCCAGGTCCAACCAACACAGGTTGTAATGGAGGCTAGAAATAAAATACCACCACATCTAGAGATGATCATTTGTCATAATAGTTGTATCTAGTACAGACAATAGATAACCACCAACCTGTCAAGGTGTTTACACATGTTGTAAAATTTACGGTTGAATGGAAGATTGACTCGATTGAAGCTGTGATCAGGCCCAAGTTCACAAAGCATTCTCAGACTTAAGTTAAGAATTTACTCAAACCTTTTTGCCTTATTTTAACTAAAATATAGACGTTTATAAAACTTTTGTTGTTTTAATGTATTAAATACTTCAATAAGAAACTATGTGCAAAGCTTTGTGTTTCTGGATCAAAGATATTTCAAATAAACAGTGATTGAAAGTTGAGTAAAATACTGAACATAATTCTGAGAATGCTTTGTGAACTCTGGTCGATTGAGGTTGAGATCAGGTCGATTGAGGTGGAGATCAGGTTAATTTTGGAGGTCATATTCATACGGCAAAATCATCTGTCAGGAATTTTAGCAATGGAAATAGGAGTAGACTGTACTGCTGTTGTCAGAGAGATTGTCTCAACATTAGCAAAACAGTAGAGAAATGGGTTTTAACAATCACTCAACAACAATTAGTTCACAGACAAACTGGAATGTGAAACCACGCCACAAGCGTTTGACCATTTCACCACCCCGGCAAAGTCTCAACGATTGTAAAACAAATCAACAAAACAAATGCCTGGTAAATAATAAATAATAAAATCTTACATCTAAGTTTTTCTGCCATGCTGGTGGTTTTGGTTTTTTCGATGGCAGATGACTTTCAAAATTATGTCTTCTGGTAGCTTCATGTTCTAACTGATTGACTCGATTACAACTACAGAATAAAAAAAAACTTCATTACCAATCTTTCTATAATCTTCATTATAGAGAAGAGGAAACTATATTAATATTAGTACATTCATTACCAATTCTTCCATAATGTACTTTTTTCGTGATAGAGAAGAGAGAGAGAAATGGGGTTTAAAGTCCACTCGACACAAACTAGGTCATTTCGGGACTAACTATATGGTTCAATTTTATTTCAATAATTTGCTTGCGTGTAGGTGTCTTTAGTAGTGGGAGGAAACTGGTGAACACGGAGAAAACCCACGAGGTTGGACAGGCGACCCTACTCCTTGTGACGTACAACCCGGGAATCGAAACCATGCCAGTTGACTCAATGACAGACTTTATGATACAGTGCGCACGTTCTAACCATTCTGCCATCCAACCCCCTTTTAGCAGTAGGAGTAAACTGGCATAGAAAACCTGGAGAAAGCCTATGGGGTTAGGGGGACATAATTCGTTTGGTATCCTGCAGTAACACAATTCCACACACTGGTGAGACAACTCGGCCATCCAACCTGCTCATGAGAAATAAATAAAGATCTTACTCGCTGCGAAAGATGACAGCACTGGCAGTTTTTGGTCGATGTAATTTTGATTTTCCACTCGAATTTGAGTATCTGCTTATTGGAGATGATCTGAAGAAAAGAAAAAGACAGAATAAACTTTAGTCACCAATTATACCAGGGTAGTATATTATATATACCAGGGTAGTGTATTATATATACCAGGGTAGTATATTATATATACCAGGGTAGTGTATTATATATACCAGGGTAGTGTATTATATATACCAGGGTAGTATATTATATATACCAGGGTAGTATATTATATACCAGGGTAGTGTATTATATATACCAGTAACCAGGGTAGAATATTATATATACCAGGGTAGTATATTATATATACAAGGGTAGTATATTATATATACCAGGGTAGTATATTATATATACCTGGGTAGTGTATATTATATATACCAGTGTAGTGTATTATATATACCAGGGTAGTATATTATATATACCAGGGTAGTATATTATATATACCAGGGTAGTATATAATATATATACCAGGGTAGTGTATTATATACCAGGGTAGTGTATTATATATACCAGTGTAGTGTATTATATATACCAGGGTAGTGTATTATATACCAGGGTAGTATATTATATATACCAGGGTAGTGTATTATATATACCAGGGTAGTGTATTATTTATATATATTATTTATATATATTGTTGCAAAATCTACATTAAATAATACAAGCTAGCCACACCGCAACTATGTTTCAAGAAAAACGATCACCATAGACAGCAGCTTATCCGAAACAAAATTTGGATTTTGACCCAATTTCACATATCTTCAAGAAATCTGATCTTTATTTATTGACAAACTTGAACAAAATCGGATAAAATATGTAGCCGTTATCACATTCACAAGGTTTTAAAACAAAATGGGTAATTCCTGAATATTAATAAGGTTCGTCCTCTCATGACCCCAAGGCTTTACACCAAATTTTTAAAAAATCTGTTGAAAATAGTTTTTCATCCCTAAAGAAGTCCGTATTTTTACTGATGAAATGTTGGAAAAAAGATGTTTTTTATATCATTGTATTTTATTAATTATTGTGTTTCGTATTAAAATATATAAACAAGCCAACAGTGAGGCTGATGTCCCCCGCCGAAATTGCAAAATAAATAGATGACACATATTAATTAATCGCACATTTATTTTTTTCACTAAGTTTCATCACTCTCTATCAGATAGAATCAAGATTATCTTGTCCCAAACCATCGACAAATGAAATAGATTAGCTCTGCTTAGCTTCAGCTCGAAATGTTAATTATTGAACTCAGTCAAGACATTCACCTAATGAACATCTACATATACATCAAGTTTAAACATTCACCTAATAGACACCTATGCCAAGTTTGAACATTCTACCTCAATTAGAAGGAGAGTTATTGTGTTCCAAAGTTTCTACCAATCAAATTGCTTATCACTCTGCTTACCCTCAGCAAAAAATGTTCATTATCGAACTTAGTTAAGGTATTCATATAATAAATCTATACACCAAGTTTCATCAATCTCACTTTGCTTATCTCTGCTTACCCTAAGCGGAAAATGCTCATCTTCGAACTCCATCAAGGCATTGACCTAATCAACACATACACCAAGTTTGAACATTCTAGCTCAATTAGAAAGAGAGTTATCGTGCCCCAAAGTATCAATCAATCAAATTGCTTATCTCTGCTTACCCTAAGCGGAAAATGCTCATCTTCGAACTCCATCAAGGCATTGACCTAATAAACACATACACCAAGTTTGAACATTCTAGCTCAATTAAAAGTTATCGTGTCCCAAAGCATCAACCAATCAAATTGCTTATCTCTGCTTACCCTAAGCGGAAAATGCTCATCTTCGAACTCCATCAAGGCATTGACCTAATCAACACATACACCAAGTTTGAACATTCTAGCCCAATTAGGAAGAGAGTTATCGTGTCCCAAAGCATCAACCAATCAAATTGCTTATCTCTGCTTACCCTAAGCGGAAAATGCTCATCTTCGAACTCCATCAAGGCATTGACCTAATAAACACATACACCAAGTTTGAACATTCTAGCTCAATTAGGAAGAGAGTTATTGTGTCCCAAAAAGTGTGACGGACAGACAGACGGACAGACAGACGGACGAACCCATTTTAATAGTCCCCTGCTTTCTTCGAAAGGCGGGGGACAAAAAGACATCACCATTAGTGATGGCACGATATATTATCATTGAATTGATGTATCGCAATCAATCACGAGATGCTGAATTGATCTTTCACGATTTTTTATGTCTTATTGTTACATCAGTAACTAACATTTTACTCTTAGTTATCCACATCACACATTATCCATAGGTACACCAACATCCATAGGTACATAGGTACACCAACATCCATAGGTACACCAACATCCATAGGTACACCAACATCCACAGGTACACCAACACCCTCTGGTCCTTATTTTGATCTGAACAGTAATTACAATTTTCTTTCCAGGTTTTAGTGACTCCAATAAAAATAAAATTATTCATTTATCCTGTTTTTTTCTTGGTAAATATTGACCTGGTTATAAATTGTGATTCGAAGCGCATCATAGCACCCAAATCGCAGCTAAAGGCAATAAAAAAAATTAACGGCCACTCGACACAAACTAAGTCATTTTGGGACTAACATATGGTTCAATTTTATTTCATTAATTCGCTTGTGCGTAGGGGTCTTTAGCAGTGGGAGGAAATTGGTGGACCCAGAGAAAACCCACGAGGTTGTCAAGTACAAGCTTGGAATCAAAACCACGCTAGTTGACTCAATGACAGACCTGATGATGCAATGCACACAAGTTAACCCACCCAATCCCCCCTATTCTGTGAAATACCTGAACAATCAAATTGAACAACATTTGTTTACGTCTGCTTAGTTTACGTTTTTTAATTATTATTTTGTCGTTTGTGAATCAGCCATTACTAATTACAGCCATATTGTCTTGTAGGATACAATTTACAAATGGCACCAGAAACCATAGTATACACCACTCGTGTACTGATTTTAAAATGTTCTTAAATATTGGATATTTTGATTCCATATTTATTTTCACTGCAAGATAACATCAACATTGATTGAAATGGACCAATATTGAATTCTAATTCGTGTTTTTAATTTCAAACATGGAAAATACTGAGTTAGAGGTTTAGATCCTTTAACACAGAGTCAACATTTACAACAAGCTAGTAGTACCTGAATATATGATTTACCTCATTGATTGTCTAGTAGGTGTCGGAGTGGGAGGAACGGGTCGCTCCGCAAAACACAACATTTCGATTTAATTACGGTATTATAAAATATATGTTTTCCACCATAAAACAGGATTGTTACTTTCTATCTTCCCACCGTAAAACACAGATTGTTACTTTCTATCTTTCCACTGTAAAACTCAAATTGTTACTCTCTATCTTTCCACTGTAAAACTCAAATTGTTACTTTCTAAGAAACACTGTGAATTTACTCCATGTTCAAACCCACTGAATTCTACTCCTCTTCAGTACATTACTCAAATTTCACATTTTATACCTGGATGCATATTTTTCATAATTTTAATATTATGAATTAAACCAAGTTATATTGATGGTTAACTTCTAAAATCCATTTCTCCATCTGTCACAATCTGCGATTTTCAAGAAATTAAAAATAAATCATGTTAAAAAGTTTTTTCAAGATTTGAAGATTTTGATAGAGATAAAATCATTGAAAGCAGTAAGCTTATATACAATCATAACCTACATCCAAAGCACCATATGAAAATCAAAATTCAAAGCACTGTATGAAAATCAAAATTCAAAGCACTGTATGAAAATTAAAATTTAAAGCACCGTTATGAAAATCCATCTTAAATCACCATATAATAAAAATCCAACTTAAATTTAATCACCATATGAAAAATAACATTCAAAACATCATGAAAATCAAATTTCATACATCCACGATAATCAACTGACAGAGAACCAAGAAATAGAAACAAATAAAAACATGTTTTCTTCCAACAAATATTCTTGTTTAAAATGATTTTTATCCTTTCAGACGGATCATTTACTATATTTAAGCCTACCATAAATCTTATTTCATAATAGGCTTATTGGGGTTTTTTCTGGGTTAAAAATATCTATTATAAGAAAGATTCACCTTTTGTTTTCTGGGTTAGAGATATCCAATATAAGATAGATTCACCTTTTAATTATCTCTAATCCTCATTAACATGAGATTAATCCAACTTGTAAAAGACCAGTTACACCCCCACCCCCCCTAAAAAAAAACAACAACAAAATCACCCCTCTTACCCTACCCACACCACCCCTAAAAATAACCTGTCTTTTGATACAATAAAACTGTTTGAATGGTATTTAGTAATTAAACATATTAAAAAAAACACAACAGTTCTATGAAATACATGTAGAGCTGTGTTTATTACAATGAAACAGAATACATCCCCCCAAAAATCACTAATCTGTTGCTATAAAAAGGCAGTAAATGATATGATATGGGTCTTGAAGATGAAGATGTTATTTTGATTAGACAGTAGTGTTACGATCTGAACATTGTCATTTGAATTTCCAACATTCAGGGGATTTTTAATGGTGTATACGTGACCCCCTGTTTTCTCATCCCTTCTGAACGACAAGAGACGAATCCTTGCTAGATCCTCAACGATTCTCTACACTGACAATCCACAGGAACTTTCATGGCCATCAAATTCAAAAGCCTTTTCTATCCACTAAACAAAATATATACTACAAATATTTACTAAAAATTCTATCACTTAGACAGGCAAATGATCCTTTTTCAGTCTTCATTAGCCCAGGAAGGACGTTAAACCACATTTCATTTCAGGTCATCCCTACCAACCCTTGTCCACAAACCCCTGTAGTTGCAATATTCAATCTGACAGTCTACTATAAAAACCAAACTGTGTGGGACTCTTTTTTTTTTTAAGGTGGAAGTCAAGTGAAGACCTTTTGACTATGGAAGCAGACAATCCGTCAAATCAGGATTTTTTTGTCTATTTTCATCTGCCTCTGAAATGTTTGTGCCTTTAACTCTTTCATGTTGGAGAGAGAGAGAGAGAAATGGGGTTTAACGTCCACTTAACACAAACTAGGTCATTTCGGGACTAACACATGGTTCAATTTTATTTCAATAATTCCCTTGTGCGTAGGGGTCTTTAGCAGTGGGAGGAAACCGGAGGACCAGGAGAAAACCCACGAGGTTGGACAGGCGACCCTACTCCTTGTTGCGTACAACCGGGGAATCGAAACCCCACCAGTTGACCCAATGACAGACAGTATGACTCAATGACAGACCGCACAGCACGCATGTGATAACCATTCAACCATCCACCCCCCCCCCCCTTTCATGTTGGTGGCCTCAGACAGATACTAGATGGTCATTTCATTTATCTCTTTAATGTCTTTATATAACAAGATTATAATAATCTGGGTTAATCCATTAATCTGCTTAATCTCCGAATCAATCAAAATGGTGAAATTATTATTGAGACAGACAGATTGAACTAAGCCAAACATATTAAATAACTGGTATTTGATTGGTCTAAATTAAAGAAAGAGAGAGAAATGGGTTTTATGGCCCACTTAACACAAACTAGGTCATTTTGGGACTAACATATATGGTTCAATATTATTTCCATAATTCACTTGGGCGTAGGGTTCGTTAGCTGTTGGTTGGAGCAAGCCAGAAGACCCAGGGAAACGTCCACAAAGTTGGACAGGTCAATGACAGACCTTATGATCTAAAGCGCATGCCTAAGACCACAAAGCATTGAGGTGTCCATCTCAGTCAGTGTGCTGGAAGCTCATTTTGTGAAGCTCTGTTTTTAAAGTTCAATAATTCATTAATCTTTGACATTAATTTGTTTACAAGACAAGATTAAATGAAAATCTTATCAATAAAAAACTTGAAAAATCCAATAATCTAACTTGAAACGTATCAACAAGATGAATAGGGGGTATAAAATACTTGTAGATTATATAAAATATTCATACACTTGTCATTTATAATATAAACATTCAAGCTGTACTTGATAGACAAATAAAATGAAATGGGGATTAACGTCCTACTGCTCTGCTCGTAAACTGGGCTAATGAAAACAGACACACCATACAGTGGCGCTACGGTCTACTCTGAATTTGATTTCCAACCGTCAAGGGATCTTTCACATGCACATCAGTGTGTACACATGACCTGTACTTGATATAGACACTCCCATAAAACTACAGTATAGATACTCAAGCTGTACATATAACACAAAATATATACAAATATATATATTACTAGCAGGATACCCGGCTTCGCTCGGGGGTCATAACTCCGAAACCGGAAGTGGTAGACTAATGCCATCTGGCCTATGTTACTCCCCGGTCCGAGCTACCCCTATACCCCAAATTTCAGACTCGGGGCAGACTTAGTGTAGCCGCCAACCCCGATCAGACAGACTTCGCTCGGGGGTCATAACTCCGAAACCGGAAGTGGTAGACTAACGCCACCTGGCCTATGTTACTGCCCGGTCCGAGCTACCCCTATACCCAAAATTTCAGAGTCGGGGCAAACCTTGTGTAGCCGCCAACCCCGAACAGACCGGCTTCGCTCGGGGGTCATAACTCCGAAACCGGAAGTGGTAGACTAACGCCACCTGGCCTATGTTACTCCCCGGTCCGAGCTTCCCCTATACCCCAAATTTCAGACTCGGGGCAGATGTAGCCGCCAACCCCGAACAGACAGACTTCGCTCGGGGGTCATAACTCCGAAACCGGAAGTGGTAGACTAACGCCACCTGGCCTATGTTATTCCCCGGTCCGAGCTACCCCTATACCCCAAATTTCAGACTCGGTGCAGACCTAGTGTAGCCGAACAGACCGGCTTCGCTCGGGGGTCATAACTCCGAAACCGGAAGTGCCTATGTTACTCCCCGGTCCGAGCTACCCCTATACCCCAAATTTCAGACTCGGGGCAGACCTAGTGTAGCCGCCAACCCCGAACAGACAGACGGACAGACAGACAAACGACAGTCACAAATATATATATATATATATAGATATAGATATAGATATTGAGAGAGAGAGAGAGAGAGGGTTTAATATCCACTTCACACAAACTAATTTTGTTTAGTCTCTTATATTATTCTGTAGAATTCTATAGGAAATTACTTTGAAAAAACTCACAATAACAAATCTTGTTGTATTCTATAACAATCTATAGGAACTGACAAAATTCTACAAGTTATCTATAACACCAATCATGATCTAAAATACTGCTTCTTTACGTCCTGACAGATTTCTGGTCAATTTCAAATATGTTCAACTTATCAACATTGATACTTTTAATTCTCACCAGGTATTTTTATATACTTTATTTAACTTTCCACAAGTTGTAATCTTAACTTTCCACAAGTTGTAATCTTAACTTTCCACAAGTTGTAATCTTAACTTTCCACAAGTTGTAATCTTAACTTTCCACAAGTAATACTCGTAACATTCCATAAGTAATACTCGTAACATTCTATAAGTAATCCTCGTAACATTCCATAAGTAATACTTTTACCTTTCCCCAAGCAATACCTTTTAACAGTCTTTTCATTAAATGATCGACTAAATATCATTTATAGGAATTAAATTCCGATCAGGTAACCGTAGATATTGTATAACATTTCCACCAACTTTAAGATCACATGATATATTTCTATATATATAACAACACAACACATCCAAACTATTAGTCTTTCACAGATGGACACTTTCTGTTATAATACAATAAAATCATGTAAAAAACATTTTCTCAAACAAATTCAAACTAATAAGTCTTTCAGGGACACTTTCTGTATATAATAAAACCACCTAAAAAAACATTTCTCAAACACATTCACGTTATACAATTAAACTAGACTAAACATTTCTATGATTACATCCAGAAAACTGCACGTTTTTTACAATAAACTTTCCTGAATAACTAATAACGATTACCACCATTCTATGATCACATCCAGAAAACTACACTTCTTTTTAGAATAACAAAGAACGATTACAACCATTCTATAATCACATCAAACCAAAAACTAAAAACATTTCTCTAAACAACAAATCTCATTAAAACTTCAGTAAAAGACAAAGACATACATGCTAATAAATTTAACACCATTTTCAAAAATAGTAAATGCAGGTTAATCGTTCATCTAATCCGATATTGCACCTTATAACATGCTAGTAGTAGATATTTGTTTAATATATAAAACCTAGTAACAGGGGTCAGACCACTCTATATAAGTTTAACCTTGTATAGCTGATGATTTTGTTGTTAAATAGATAAACAGGTTTACACCCTAACAATATAAGATACTAGTGTATAATATAACTAATATATCATAGTTATCTATACACCTATGTTTAATAATACACAGTTTATTGTTCAATTGTTGCTGTCTATTATACCTATATATATACTATCAATACAGACTTGAATCAGTAATTCAATATCAATAACCCTAAGCCCTGTTTACACCGGATATATTTATTTTAGTAGTTGCAAGGGATTAAAGTCCCTCAAATGACCTTGCCCAATCAGTATGATGACATTAAGAGAGAGAGAGATAGGGGGGAGAGAGAGAGAGAGAGAGAGAGAGAGAGAGGGTTTAATATCCACTTCACACAAACTAATTTTGTTTAGTCTCTTTAGAGCGCTTGTGTGCAGGGTTCTTTAGCAGTGACATGATGACATTGAGAGAGAGAGAGAGCTCCACACAAACTAGGTTATTTCTGGACTAACAGAGAGAGAGAGAGAGAAAGAGAGAGAGAGAGAGAGCTTGTCTGTAGGGTTCTTTAGCAGTGGGTGGCAGAAAACCCGATAAAAAAAAAACCATGACGTTAGACAGATGACTCTACTCATTGGGGAAACAAAACCACACCACGATACTCAACAACAGACCTTATGATCTAAGGCACATAATTTAATCCAATCGGCCACCCAACTTTGATGTCAGTGTGGGGGGTTAGATGGCCGAATGGTTAGCATGCGCGCGCTGTATCATACTGTCTGTCATTGGGTCAACTGGTGGGGTTTCGATTCCCCGGTTGTACGTGACAAGGAGTAGGGTCGCCTGTCCAACCTCGTGGGTTTTCTCTGGGTCATCCAGTTTCCTCCTACTGCTAGAGACCCCAACGCGCAAGCGAATTATTGAAATAAAATTGAACCATGTGTTAGTCCCGAAATGACCTAGTTTGTGTCGAGTGGACGTTAAACCCCATTTCTCTCTCTCTCTTTTGAAGTCAGTGTGAACAGGGTCTAAACTAATGAGTATTCCATACTGACTGTACAGGTTGGTTGAAGAATACATCAAAACAAATATATTATATATAACAAAGGTAGGTTGAAAAAATACATCAGGACAGATATATAACAAGTTTGATGACCAATGAAGCCTAACCTGTTTTATTATCACATACAGAATTACTGTATATTTACTGTTTCTATTGTAATGTTCTCCAGGTAATAAGGTAGGTGTCTACAATAAGTACAGGTGATCTATCAATAAAACAACTATCACAGGTACAGGTGATGAAAAAACAACTACACAATAATATATTTATAATGCTTTACATATATATATATACTTTCTAACAAACATGTCTGTTATTGGCCTGCTCTGTTGATGGTAATTATAAATATGGTTCCTATCAGCTGTTGATGTTACCGGTAGTACCAATCAGCTGTTGATGGTAATATACCGGTAGTACCAATCAGCTGTTGATGGTAATGATAGTACCAATCAGCTGTTGATGGTAACGATAGTACCTATCAGTTGTTGATGGTTACGATAGTACCAATCAGCTGTTGATGGTAATATACCGGTAGTACCAATCAGTTGTTGATGGTAATATACCAGTAGTACCTATCAGTTGTTGATGGTAATATACCAGTAGTACCAATCAGTTGTTGATGTTAATATACCGGTAATACCAATCAGTTGTTGATGTTAATATACCGGTAGTACCTATCAGTTGTTGATGGTAATATACCAGTAGTACCAATCAGCTGTTAATGGTAACGATAGTACCAATCAGCTGTTGATGGTAACGGTAGTACTAATCAGCTGTTGATAGTAATGGCAGTACCAATCACCTGTTGATGGTAATATACCAATAGTACCTATCAGCTGTTGATGGTAATATAAGTAATGGTTTACACCTTTCTATAAGACTGTGTATTCAAATGTTTGTATTCCAATAATTTTACAAAGCTATTTGAACTAACGTCTTCGTATTTGTCTTCTGTAGGAAATATTTAATATATTAAAGATATATTATATAAGATTTAGATAAAGATGTGGCTGTTCTTGCTACAATAGTTCAAAAATAGATAATGCAAAATGAATACATTGAAAATTTCATTCAAATTACTTTATTTTGAGCGAAGATATTAGCCTTTGAAGGTTTGACAAGACGTGCGCATTAATTGCAACCACCGTACTGGTTGTTAGAAGCTTAGCATAGCCTGGCTTCACCATTATTTAGATTAAATCATTAAATGGCAGAATCTACTTAAAATCGGACCTATCCAATGACATCGAGACTTGATTATGGTCATGTTAATAAATTTCTAAATTAACAGGGTATATAACATTTAAGGCCTAAAGAGAGACCTGCAATAGGCAGATTTAGGTCTTGAATAATGTATGTTTAATTAAATCAAATCAACTAATATTCCAAAATAAAAAAAAAGATAAGAAAATTATGGTGATTTGATTGATTCACAATTTCTAGAAATCTGAAAATGATTAAAAGGACCCAATTTAAGTAGCTAAGTCTCTAAAACAATATCATCCAAATTCTTCAATATTGAAAACACGAATTATTTGTCAATTTAAATCAACATTGATGTTGTGATCTTACCGGGAAAATATGGGCTTCTGATATCCAATATTCAAGACAAAATAAACATTTTACCGTTGGTACACGAATCGTGTACCATAATGCGTTTCAGCGTCATTTGTAACAAGGGACTCTAAAAACGAGACTAGGCATATTTCACAAGTCATGTGAAATGGTGACGTCATATTCTTATTTGAAGAGCATGCACTATAAATACTATCGGTGTAGACTAGAAAAACAAGATCCTAGAGATTGCCATTTGCTCAAGACTTCTGGCGTATTTCGCTGAATGTAACTGATTAGAAATTACAGCAAAACAGAAACAATTGAATGTAAATCAGTTTATATACATTCATATTACATTATTATATGTGTTGCAACTTGCAACCCATTTGTGCCAATTTCTAGATCCCAAATATAAGCGACTTAGCTCCTTTAAACATACATTATGCAAGAGCTAAATCTGTCTATTGCAGGTTTCTCCTTAGGTCTGAAATGTTATCTAAATTATTAATTAGACATCAATTAACTTACCAAGACCATAATCAACTCTTGATGTCAACAGATGCTGAAGATTTTCTACAGACGTAAATACTATTGACAGTTGATGATTTAATTTAAAAATGGATAACCAAGACTTTGTTTATTATCTTACCAACAGTAGCAATGATATTCTAGGCTATAGTGTTCTTCTAATGGCGATAACTTGGCTCACAGTGAAGTAATTTGACTGAAATTGTCAACATATTCCCTTTTCATTATCTATTTTTGAAAGATGGGTTCCCGCGTACAAACTGGGTGATTTAATGGTATAAATGGACTAAAAACATATTCAAACTAATTAATTTGTCATAATTATGCTTCAAATCCTTCTCAAACATTGTAATTGCGAAGGAATGCCCTGCTATTAAAGTTCGATCAAACCAGGTCATGTTTACGTCACATCTTAGGAGTCAGAGGAGAATTCATTGCATACATAAGACGATGTTGTCTTTAATCGCTTACTATTTATTACAAATATCGAATCCTAATTAAATTCTCGGATTATCCACTACCCGCATCTTTTTCCGTCATTTTTATCTCAGAAAGTATTGTATGTCTAACTCTTCAAAAAGTTTATCAACTTGTACATCAAGCGCTCAATGTTCGCTTGTAACCTTTGACATCACGCGTGCAGAAGTTCCTAATCGTCGGGCTGTTGATTAGGGGAACCCTTACATTTTTGTCCTGTATACGCTCCATGAATGTTTTTTGGGGAATCCAGTATTTTTCTAGTAAGATTGGATATCTCTACTTTCCATATATACCAAAATTGCCATACTTTTATTGGAAATAACCAACCGATAAATACTTTTCTGGGAACCCATCTTTAAATATTAAAGTGAGAACTGTTAGCACTTCGTTATCTAATCTTATGCAACGCCCTCTTAAGTTGATCATATGCATGTCATCAAATCTTCAAATAACATTTGATTAATGACTTTTAAAATGTATTTGAATAGTAAAATATACCATAATATACCCCATAAAGTCTACTGTACAACAATGGAATGTGGTTTAACTAATTGTTCTGTCAACACGATACTTTGGTTATTTTGGGACTAACATGGTTAATGTATCATCAACACAATACTTTGGCCATTCTGAGACTAACATATGGTTAATGTATCATCAATACAATACTTGGTTATTTTGAGACTGACATATGGTTAATGTCTCATCAACACAATACTTGGTTATTTTAGGACTAACATATGGTTAATGTATCATCAACATGATACCTTTGGTTATTTCGGGACTAACATATGGTTAATGTCTCATTAACACAATACCTTGGTTATTTTGAGACTAACATATGGTTAATGTATCATCAACACAATACTTTGGCCATTCTGAGACTAACATATGGTTAATGTATCATCAATACAATACTTGGTTATTTTGAGACTGACATATGGTTAATGTCTCATCAACACAATACTTGGTTATTTTAGGACTAACATATGGTTAATGTATCATCAACATGATACCTTTGGTTATTTCGGGACTAACATATGGTTAATGTCTCATTAACACAATACCTTGGTTATTTTGAGACTAACATATGGTTAATGTCTCATTAACACAATACTTTGGCCATTTTGAGACTAACAAATGGTTAATGTTTCGTCAACACAATACTTGGTTATATTGAGACTAACATATGGTTAATGTCTCATCAACACTATACTTTGGTTATTTTGAGATTAACATATGGTTAATGTATCATCAACACAATACTTTGGTTATTTTGGGACTAACATATGGTTAATATCTCATCAACACAATACTTTGGTTATTTTGAGACTAACATATGGTTAATGTGTCATCAACACACTACTTTGG